AGTGGGATGAAATCATAGAAAAGTAGGGCTGGAAGGGACCTCCAGGGGTCATCTAGTCCAGCCCTCTGCCTGAGGCAGGATCATCCCTATCCAAACTATCCTATACAATCCATAATCTAATCACTACATAAGATTACTATGAAGTTGTCCAGCATGCAAGGCTGTACAGTTAGGAACTAATGACAAGAACTTCTGGTCTTAAAAATCTTTCTGCTGACTTGCAACTAGAGGTGGGTCATGCAAACGCCCTGACAGAAGACATTGCCAACCCCTGATCTAGAACACCTTATAGCTGCTTTCAGTGATACAGTTACTAAATATTGCAGAATTGAATTATTCACGTACTGCTTTTTGGTCATTTATATAAGGGATTTTTTTTTTCTTTTTGAGTTTGCTAATTTTTGTTTTTACTTTTTACCTAGGTGTTAAAATCACTTCAACTGTTCAAGTGTTAAAGCTTATCAAGCAGGCTGGCGATAGAGTTTTAGTTTTTTATGAGAGGCCTGTGGGTTATAATCAGCATGGTGCAGCGCTGCAAGATGGTTTTGCACAGTTAGAGGAATCTACTTTTTCGACACACCAAGAAGAGGACCAAGTTAGTGTTTCAACAGATGCTGACAGCAAAGACTTGGATTCTGAATTTGAAGACCTAGCTTGTGAGATAAAATCACCTGAGCTGAATGAAGAGATTCTAACAACTCAGAGTCCTAAACGATCAGTAGTAACATTTGCTGCTAAACCACTTGGAACTATATCTCCAATTCTAAATCGCAAGTTACACTTAGGAAATTATCAAACAAATTTAAAAACTCAACCAAAAGATGGAGCCAAACCATTAGCACCCAAAAGTTCTGAGAGCCAAGACCCAACACAGCAATCAGTCAGACCGCCACAGGGATCCGGTGCTAAACCTCCTGTCCCACCGAGACCACAGATTAAACTTACTTTGTCTTCTAGTGAAACTCAAATAGAAACTGGTGACATATCTTCTGAAAAACCAGAAAGGCCTCCTCCACCTGCAAATAATGGAGATAAGTGTTCAGAGAAGATAACAAAAAATAGTGATCAGGTAGAAGACCCAGCGCTATCAAAAGTAACAGCTGTACCAAAACAAGAAATATTAAAAGATCCAATTTTAGAAAATGCACGTGGCTCTAAGGATAGTGGAGGCGATCAAATATGGGAATCACCAGAAATTCCATATCGCAACCGACAAGGTAGATGGGCAAGGACAAGAGCATCCTCCTGTATATATGAAGTGGAAGCCTACCATAAGTACCTTAATGTTGCACTTTGGTGCAGAGACCCTTTCAAAATGGGTGGGCTTATCTGCTTAGGACACGTAAGTATAAAACTTGAAGAAATTGCTTTAGATTGTATAGCTACATCATCCATGGAATACATCAGAACGTTTAGATTAGACGCCCCTGCACCTAAAGCTGCCGTCACTAGAACTGCTTTGCGCAATTTGACAGTGCATAAGGGATTCAATGAAAAGTTTTGCTATGGAGATGTAACCTTGCACTTCAAATATTTAAAAGACGGTGAAGCTGAAGATTCAAGCTTTCTGCTGGAACAAGAACGGGAGTCTAACTCGGAAGAAGAAATTCATGCGCTTCCAAAAGAGCATATGTATCTGGGACAAATGGTGTTTACCGAAAACAAGCATAACTTTCAAGATACTCAGTTTCAGAATCCAACGTGGTGTGATTACTGCAAAAAGAAAGTTTGGACTAAAGCCGCTTCTCAATGCATGCTCTGTGCTTATGTTTGCCATAAAAAATGTCAAGAAAAATGTCTGACTGAAACTCCATTTTGTGTAGCAGCTGAAAGGAAACTCGATCGAACCATGGGAGGCTTTAAAATGGAAATCCAGGAAAATCAGGCTCCTGCATCCTCTCGCATTGATTCAGAAACCAAGTCTGTTAACAAAACAACAGGTTTAACAAGACATATTATCAACACAAGCACTCGGTTTTTAAATCTTCGTCAAGTCCCTAAAACTCGCCTCGCTGAACCAGGAACAGATGCCGTAGAACCTTCTCCAAAGCACACACCAAACACTTCGGATAATGAAAGCAGTGACACTGAAATCAGTGGTTCAAATAGTCCTTCAAAACGTGCAACTAAATTAGCAAGAAAGGAGGGAGGACTAGATGACAGTGTCTTTATTGCCGTTAAAGAAATTGGCCGTGACCTCTATAGAAGTTTGCCTACGGAGGAAAGATTCCAGAAACTGGAGTTCATGTTTGATAAGCTACAGAATGAAATAGATCAAGAACTAGAAAATAACAATTCACTGCTTAAAGAAGAAAAAGAAACAACCGATGCAAGGAAAAAAGCATTAATTTCTGCTGCATTGATTAAATCAGCTGAAAGACTGCAGGCGCTTACACTGCTCATGATCCACTACCGAGCAGGTATTGAGGATATAGAATCTTTAGAAAATATATCTTTAGACCAGCAGTCCAAAAAAATGACTAAAAACGCAGAGGAAGCCAGCACTGCAGAAGAAATGGATCACGAAGATGTCAATCTGACAGAGGCTCCAACATTAAACAGCAGCATATCAGAAGAACCACATGACCCACCTCAATCAGCAGACTGATGTTTAGCCTTCAGAAGGATGGACTGAAAAGAATATTTTGCACTTAATCAAAAAACACATCAGAGCTTAATTAAACACTGGTACAAGGTATACAGCCAGCTTCTCCACCGTTACTTGCCTGTGCAAGAGTATGGTTAGTAGAGGTTCTTTTCCAGCTACGGTACCACCATATTGTTAAACTGGCTGGTTCAAATTGTGTTAGAAGTACATTTTTGGGTTTATACTGGGAGTTTATTTTTAATAATTTATTTTTAACTTTTTCTAATTATGTAACCTTACCATTTCACGTTAATGTATGTGTGGTGTCTTTAGAGCATTATTGACCCTTCAGTTTGTTTGTTTGTTTTTCTTTGAACTAGTGTTTTGAACAGGAAACCGCCAGGATTTCAAAACGTTTCATTTCCATCATGTGATGAAAAAGTTACAAGCTTGCTGCATGCCTAACCTGGTGACAACACAGCAGTCATTAAGGGACCGGGTTTTGAAATTTTGATCATGGTGCATTAATGTGTCTTCTAAATAGTTGTGTATTTTTTTGCCAAACACGGTGGCTTTTTGTCTATTATTAATATTTAGTTAAAAGTACCATTACATATCACGTTACTCGCTTTCCATACTTTGTTAAACACCCTAACTTGAAAAAGTCACGATTAGTCTGAAATATGGTCTTGTTATGCTAAAAAGCATCCCTCTTTAGACCTTTGGGATATTAAACATTGTTTCATGTATTCAATATGGACTGATGCTGCGTAGTAATTTTATGGGGAATATGCCAGAAAACGTAGCAAGTTTGTTTGTTTTAATTGCGATAAATAGCTGGCAGCAGCCTTATAATACATAAATCCTGCTGTGAAATGTAATATTTAACCTGCAAAAGGAAAACTGAAGTTCTCAGAAGCTGGGCGGGGGGTGTTATCCTTATCACTCTCTATGAAAGGCATGCAGCAACATTACTATTTCAAGAGCGTTTAATATTTTGCCACACATCATTAGTGCAGAATAAATATGGGAGTTGAACAGAATCAATAAATGCTGTGTATGTCAACACTTCTGGGATCATCAGATGTTGAAGAACTGCATTCAGCCACTCAACCAGAAGAAATGCTAAGAGCGAAAAGCCCAGCTTTTAAAAAAAAAAAAATCTTAAACTGCATACATCTCTCCCACTGGATTCAAACAAATATGTTCAGATGAGATGAGGAGGAATTTTAGCAACCAGTCTGATCATGTGCTATATGTAAATTTTGGATCTAAGCATTGTCTAACTAAATACATTATTCCTATTTATTATGAATTTCTTCAAGTTTCATCTTAATACAGAAATACCGTAATTTTTTATGTTTAAGTACTGTACTATGATATCACTGATTGTGCAATCAGAGGCGAAACTATTCAGTTAGACCACTAATTTAAAAAAATTTTGGTGGGCTGCCACTAACATACTACACTGTTAAATTTGTCCACTACAGAATAGGGAGGCAAAAATAATAAACAGTAGATCCAGCAGTAAAAAATACTTCTTCTACCTTTAAGTAAAGCTGTTACTTTCAGTCTTGCAACTAGTTGCACATTTTTGTGAAGTATTTTCAGCAGTTGATAATTATTCAGCCGACACGTGAAAACATTATCCATCCTATAAATACGCATGTATAACACTTCTTGAAATTCTGCTTCAGCAAATAATAATTTTTAAAAAAAATCCCCCTTTACTGATTAAAAGTCATTTAACCCATACTTGATTTGAAATGCATAGTATGTCTTTTTCATTGTTATTTTCTGGGTATCTTACCATTCATTGGTGGTGATCTGGATTAAATCTCCATCAGTGTTTGCTCATTATTGATTAGTATAGGAGTTTTCAAGTGTATCCAAGTACTTCATTTATATACTGCCAGATGTGAAGGAGCTGCAGGGGAAAAAAATGCAAATTTTGATTTCACAACAACACATTCAGGATTTTAAATTACATAAATGTATAATATAATGGATATGAGAAGCTGGATAGAATTTTCTTCATATAGCATTGCTAATGATGATTGTAAGATATAAATTAAATGTAGTGCAATATTTTTAAATATGTTGAATGGGGTGGGGGTGAAATAGTTGTATTTTAGTGATGAGAAGGAGAACATAAAACTCTTATCTGGCATTAACTACAGCAAGCGCTGGCTCTTGAGGGAAAAGTTGTAATACTACATTCCTGATGTACTCTTTGCTTCCATGCTTGACTGTAAATAGCTGAAAATAAAGAATACCATAGAAAACAGAATCTTGACTTAGTGCTATCTAGATAGGTGGTAGCTACACACATTTATGGAAATGCTGCCTGATATGATTTTGTTGGCTATGACTTTATCATAAGAACAAGCTTTAATAAAATAGTTTTGCTACATTACCAACTTCTTTGCACTATGTTATATTTAATATATTTGCATTACAATAGTTTATCATCTAAGGTATGATAACTTAAAGCACTATACTTTTAGGGAGAAATACACAAATATGCCCGATGTAGCACAACTGCAAAAACACACCACTACAGCCGGTGTTTTATTGCACATTGGAAGGAGAGAGAGGCAGTGGTACAGATGGTTCTGCCTGTGCCAGTTTTCAGCACACATCCCCGTGGATGGGCAGGGTGATATAGCACAGCCAGTTGGCTCTGTGCTATTTGGGTGCACCGTCCAAAAACTCCGTGATGAAGTAGTACCTGAGGTCAGTCACAGTAAGGACCCGCGTGTTTCTGTGTCTTGCCCTTGGCTTTTAAAGGAGGAGTCTGACCCCTGTGTGCGCGTCTACACGAGAAGCTATTGCGCAGTGGTTACTGTGCATTTATTCAGTACTTGTATAATCAAGTACTAAATAAATGTGCAGTAACTGGGGTTACTGCACAGTAGTGCTGGCAAACGCCTTTTAAGTGATGCGACTTCACAGTAGCTGAATAATAATGTATAGTAATGTATTAGCACTGTTAGTGCTGTGACACACCACTGCGCAGTCAGCATTTCATGTAGATGGGTCCCGTGTCTCTCCATAGGAGTCCCACACAGCCCAGTTACTTTGATATTTTTTTTTTGTAGCAGTGCCAACTTAATTTATATATATTTTTTTTTTCTTCCCCAAGAAAAATGTAAAAACAATCAGTGAGCAAGACCTTCCGCCTTTTCTTCTTTGCTGCAAGTTACTGTGTTTCATTTTACAGAGGTAAATGTTATCTAAACCTTATGAACTTTTAAGCAGTAAATTGGTTAATGCAGTTATTGAGTAAGCAAATAACACTTCACTCAATTGTCAATATTGTCTGTTAATTGAAATTTAAATGATCATGTTGTAGCACATAAGCTTCCAAGGGATGAAAAAGATTCTTTAGATGCATCCATTAAAATGAGATTAGAAGAAAAAGATATTACTAATATGAAGTCAGTCTTCAAAAGCACTATATATCTACTGCTGAAGTCCTTCATACCATTTCAGGGGTCTGTTTTCCCCTCCTTCCACTGATATTTTCTCAATTCCCATTTATTTACACACGTCCATTCAGAAGAGAATAGTCTATGTGTCGCACTACATCTGTCTGCATTATTTATTTAAATAGTTGACAAAAGTTTGGATCAGTAATCACTCAGCAACAGATAATTTGGGATATCTTGTTTTATATTAGCAGGTTATGTACAGACAGCCTGTCTCCTTGAGGTAAAGTGTTTAATCCCACTAGTGGAAAGCACAGATCCACTACATGAATTAAGTGTTGCTTTCCTGTGGATAGGTGAAGTCCATCATACCTTCTTTCCATATGGTACAAAAGAGGGTAACCTTTTATCACATTTTATTACAATAAATCATGATGTATTTTAGGTTGTATTTTATTTATTTTTCTGGCATCTGAATGCATAACTATCAACAAAGAGATACTTGAAGTTTGATCCACAGCATTTCAATACTTTCTGAGCATACTATATACACTTTACAAAACTATATGTAAACACAGAATATCTATGCTATACTCCGTAAAACATCTGCTGTTACATGAAGGCACATTAAGATTCAGTTACAAATAAAACCAAAATGCACACAACACTGGATAAAAGTGCATGTTGTTTTTTGTTGAGCGTTTACTTCCGAAGTTTCTTTTCCTCAGTGCAGATGTATAGATTGATTGTTTACTGCAGTACTTTTCTTTCATTAGACTTAGCTTCATCAAATGATAATTTGAGGTATTGGCAACAAGTTGTCTGTTCCTTTTCCATTATTAAGTGTAATTTATATTTTGACTTAATTTTCAAACAGACGAAACATAAACATGTCTAGGTATCTAGCCAACTATCAGCCTGAAAATCGAATCTGCTCAAAGCAACTGTGGATGTTTATCATCTTACTTGTAGGACTCATTGTGAATGAATACTGTGATTCTGCAATATCAACTATTTATTAAACACCTTAAATGAATGTGTAAGTATCTAAAATAAAGTTTCAGATATATGACAAAATAAAAAATCTGAATATAAAAAGGGTAAATCTTATACACCAACCTTCTTTAATATACACTAGCTCCATTCTTCTTCTTCTACTCCTAAAATTAAATATGTATATTCATGTAACTGGCTCGTGGGTTCAAGCTGTATTAAAAATCAAAGTAGTAAAAGAAATGTACTGACCTGTATGAACACAAGTGTTTGGAAAAAAGTGGGGTATTTCTTCCCTCCCTACCCAGTGCTCTCACTGTGCCACCAGTTTTGTAAGCAGAGCTCACCTCTGGAGTCAGCAGAGGCGTTCTGTCAAAAAGAAATAAAAAGCTGGCCCTGCATGACCCCAACCTACACAACATTGTCTCATCATCCTAGTCTGCGTGTGCCTGAAGGAGCGCACTAACCCTAAAAAAGGATCAAGAAGGGATAGCTGTGTCATCCTCAAACTTTTTTTTTTTTTTTTTTTTTTCAATCTGCGGAATAAATTGAGTTTTACTGACTTGACTTTGCCCCACCAATGACTCTAAGCATAATATGGAGTTTTGTGTGAAAGTGTCCACAAGTGAACTTTAAAAAAACTATATATAGATTTATACTACACATTTAATCAAAAATATACTGTATAATATTTAATAAAATTAAATACATGAAGTTTAACACTGTTTATACAAACCCCTATAAAAGCTTTGTATTTTCCCTCTTCATAAGGCAGTTAGCAGTCTGCTTTATAGCCATCAGAAATTAATAATATACCTTTGGTTTCTTGACTATTTCACCATTAAAAGTACAGTAAAACTAAAACATATTTCTGGATGAAATGTTTCACATGAAACACTGCTTTTTGAACACCAAAATACTGGGTATGGCTCTTGGTATCATTCATCACTTTCAGACTCTTCATCGTCGCCGCCTATGGGATAGGACTGGATGTTGTTCTGAGTATACATTTTTGTTTTAATGGGACAATTGTGATCCATGAGTATTGCCTAAAAGAAAACAGAGCATAGATATAAGCGGTTGTGCTGTATGCTGGGGTGGGGAGGGGTTTGCAGATAACTACACAACTGCAGTCACAGATTTAGATGCTTCCATTTCTTTCAGGAAAGCATCCCTAATTTCAGTAAAAATAGGACAGACCTATCTACGCTGGCCATGTAAAAAGAATCTTTACCCCCCACCCCCCATAGTGACTTCAGTTGAAGCTGGTTTTCACCACGTAGCTAAGTTGGGGTGCTTGTATTATCTTTCTTATGCATTACGGATAATGAATTGGTTCTAGTTCAGATCACTGTTAGTTATGTGAATTGCAAGAAAGCAGAAAACTGCTGCCTTGAGCAAAGGCTCTGTCTGTTGCTTGATTTCCTTACCACTTTTGCTGCCTTTGCAAAGCCATAGGACTAGTCTGCGCTATTGCTATTCAACATTTTATTAGTTGCTTCGAACGTACATTTAATTTTTTTCCCTGGTTTCAGGCTCCACATTAAGCAAGTAACAGCTTTTATAGTGTTTTACAGCAAGACAGACTCTGCTCCTACTGAAACTGAAAGTCCAGATTAAGCCCAGGAACATGCCAGTAAAATCCTTTGAGCTCCACATGACTTGTGTGCCTAATCCAAGACAGAAAATGGTCCAAGTGTGAACTGCACCCTATATAGATTCATAGACTGTAGAGTCAGAAGGGACCACGAAGGATCAGTGCATCCAACCCCCTGCCCCAGGCAGGAAAGAGGGCTGAGGTCAGCTGACCCTAGCCAGGTGCCTATCTAGCCTCCTCTTGAAGATCTCCAAGTTAGGTGACAGTACCACCTCTCTTGGCAGCCCGTTCCAGATTCTGGCCACCCTTACTGTGAAAAATGTCTTCCTAATGTCTAACCTGAAACTACTCTCTACTAGTTTGTACCCGTTATTCCTAGTTACTCCTAGGGATGCCCTGGTAAATAGCGCATCTCCAATTCTCTGTTGTCCTCCCTTGATAAACTTATAGGCAGCTATTCAGTCTCCCCTCAGACGGCTCTTGTGAAGGCTGAAGAGATCCAGATCCCTCAGCCTCCCCTCGTAGGGTCTTTCACGGAGGCCACTAATCACATGAGTGGCCCTCCTCTGAACCCTGTCCAGATTCTCCACATCCCTCTTGAAATGTGGTGCCCAGAACTGGACACAGTACTCCAACTGCGGCCTGACCAATGCCTCCCTCGGTGTGTTGGTCATGCATCTGCTAATGCATGACAAGGTGCGATTGGCTTTGTTACACTACCAGCTCATGTTCATTTTGGAGTCAGCTATGACTCCAAGATCCGTGATGTGATCTTAATCTGATTGCATTGAAATCGCTGGCCACCAAATTCTAATTGCCCTATAAAATTCGTTTACTGCAGCAAAGGACCTGCCAAGAGCATAACATTGACTTTTTAGCCTTCTGTCTTTCTTAATGTCTCAGCAAAGTTTTTCCGCAAGACTCGGAGCACAGTCTATGAACTATATACATCCTAGTCTATGGAATGCCTGATGGGGTTTAGCTTTCAATTAATCATGTAATATTAATAGAGGACAGTAGGAACTCTCCCTCCAAACTGAAAGCTGAACAATGCTAGTTCAGTGACAAGTTGCT